CCTTCCTTCCTTCCTTCCTTCCTTCCTTCCTTCCTTCCTTCCTTCCTCCCTCTCTCCTTCTCTCCCTCCCTCCTTATCTATCTATCTATCTATCTATCTATCTATCTATCTATCTATCTATCTATCTATCTATCTATCTGTCTATCTATCTATCTGACTGTCTGTGTGTCTATCTATTTTTCTAAGCAGAGAGGCAAGGGAGAGGCTGAAAAAGGAGATTCTTACACAGAAAAAATGATCTGCTTTTTACCCTTTGGTTTAGTCTTGGAAGGTTCAGGCCACAGAAACCTCAGAAGGAGGTCAGTGTTGTTACAGGGCTATTATTTTGGTGTTAACGAGCCTTCAAACCAAACAGACTTCCATTGGTCCAGAAATTATTAATCTTGGCCTCCAAAAATGAAATTTTCTAAAGATTAATCCTCGTCATAAGTCTGTTGAATCAATTGTATGGGAGCCCTCCCATTTGCTCCTTTATACCACTTTGATTTTGGTTTGTGGCTGTCTTATTTTGAAGCATGTCATGATGGTCTTAGTGACAGATTTTGGTGGGGAATTTCCCAGAAACATTGAACTCTAGTCTTTTGGGAATGTCAATCCTCTCTTTTGAAGGAATATAGTAGCATAGCTGACTGTCTAATCTAGATGGCTCCAGCTCACTATGGAAGAAAATGATAAAAATGAGTGGTTTCCAGCTCCAGGATTGTGAAATAGAGTTGGATATACAAGCAGGTTACTACTGTAAACCACCACCGTTTCCACCTGCACTTGACTGTGGTTAGAAATGCAATAACAGCACCAAGGGGGTGGTTTATTGTTCTGCCTTACCCAGCCTTGTTGGAGCCACCAGTTTATACCTAGCCTGGGTCAACTCAGTTCTTCATGCTCCTCAGGAACACAGTACATTGCATAGCAGAGTCCTTCCAAATAAGACCTTAAGGATCTCCATGTCTAAATCGTAATGGTCTGGTTGTGCTGTTTTTCTTGAGAATAGAAATGAACTGAAATTTTTTTTTTGGTCTAGTATCTGAGGCTACAGCAAACTTTGGATTCCTGTCTTCTGTTGGCATGATTGCCTAGAGAGAAAAAACAAAACCCCAAATAACCCCTAACTTTAACAGGTTTCATGATCTAAACAGCTCTCGAATAAGTTATTCATACCTCAAAGGTTCCTATTCACTTTTTGGACCCAAGACTGGCTCTGGCATCTGGGGATCATGGATTATGTTGCTAAGTGTGAATTTCTGAATGGGAAAATCCAATACATTTTAAATGCCAGTTGAGAGTTTATAACTTTAACAGTAAACTAGATGGATAGACCCAGTAATCCTATGGTTGAATGGTCAAACCTTTACACTGAGTCCTTTCAATTTAATTCATTGGAATGTGTCCTCCTTTGGATGACTAGGGAGTTGAGAGAATTGAAGCATAAATGTAGTCAACTCAAAATTATCCATTCTAATGGAGGAAATCAGTGGTTCAGATAACACAGTGAGTAATTCTTCAAATCATCTATTTGGTTTTAGAATATATTTTCTGCTTTTGTTGGTGAGCCTGGAGGTAGGGCAAGGTTTTGGGGGAAGATGAGGATTTTTCCTTTCATCTTACCCCACCCTAATATCCAATCAGTTGTCAAGTTCTCTTCATTCCATCTCCGTAGTTTCTCTTGTATCCATCCAGTTCTTTCTATCTCTGTGGCCACCATTGTTACTTAGGCCCTCCTTACACCTTAACTGGACTATTGTAATGGCCTCCCAAAGGGCTTCTCTGCCATTAACTTTCCCCTTCTCTAACTGATCATCCTTCACCCAGCTGCCAAAGTAATCTTCCTTAAACCATGTCAATCAGTAATCTCCTAGCTTTTAAAAGCTTCCACAAGCAGTTTCCAATTTATCATTCCAGTCAAATCTCATACTGCTCCCTTTTGTTTTAGCTAAATGGGATTAACTTGTTATTTCATGAACTTTCACATCTCCAGTCTCTATGCATCTGCACAGATAGCCCACCATGCCTAGAATAAATTCCCACCTTTCAAGAGTCTCATTTCATCTACAGCTTGGCTCTGACGCTGACTGCTCCATGATGTCTTTTCTTGTTGTTTTCCAACCATTCCCTCTCCCGTGTCTTTGTACTGCCTCTCATCTTGATTTTTCCTAGAGCTTTGTGTTTGACTTCTTCTTCCCCCCTCCCCTTGTTCCTTACCATGCATTAGGCTTATCACAATTCCACCTTGTAGATTATAAGTTCCTTGAGAGCAGGCATCATTTCATTTTTTCCTTTTTATCCCCAGCATCTAGCACAGTGCTTTGCCATTGGTAGGTGCTTTATATATGCATATATGTATTGTGTATATATGTATATACCCACATTTACATATGGACACACATGTGACCTTATATACATGTGTATATAAATACCTATATGCATATATTTATATATGCATACATATATAGATTATGTATTTGTTGAATTTGTAGGGGGAGTTCAGCAGGATTTCTTTTATTAGCTCTATTTAGTTCAGTTGCATGTTAGCTCATATTCCCTAAATAATGGCATGGGAGTTGACCCAAAAACTTGCTGGTTTGTAGGGGTTGGGGGAGGCACTAAATACTTAGTATGAATGATCCATAGATAAATAATTGAGAGTTGATGGCATATACATTTCTATATTTACAATCACTGCCATCCTGATATGATGAATCAAGCAGATCATATTTCCTTTCTTGGTGTCACATATTAACTTATATGTATATGTCTATGTATATATATATATACACACACACACACATATTTAAATATATTTTATATATTAAATAATTAATTTATTTAGAATATTAATTTATTAATAAATAATTAAATACATATGTATTTAAAGTAGAACATGGCAGGCACTCTTCCTTGCAGCCTCTTTCTCTTGAAATTTGGTGTCAGTGTTTGGGCTTTGGACAGTTTTGCCAATGGAAATTTCTCCAGGAGCTGTTGTGCAATCCCAGCAGCTGTTTTTAACCTGGTTTGGGAAATTAATGAACTTGCATGATCTTGTGGTCAGTGAAGAATGTATTAAGCAACTCATAGAATAAGAGACTTCTGACATTGCTTTGGACATGAACTATTTATATCAGATCTTTAGTTCTGTTTTTTTTTTTTAGAAGTGCACTTTCAAGTAAAGAATCCATGCTACACCTGGAGAGGGTATGGAATGCAGACAGGCAGTGGGGTGGGGTGATGGTGGTGTCCTTCTTCTGGACAAAGAATTCCACAGCCTTACTTGTCTGTAGGAGACATCAGCCTATACATATATCTCACTAAGATATATTTATAAAATGTTGCTGCCAAATAGCATTTTAGAACCAAGGTCAAGGAAGGCCAATGTACTTAGAGTGTAATGGATCTTTTTTTAAAGGCTAAAGGATTTTGCCAGGTTATGCCATCCTCTTTTTAAAACATTTATGCTGTTTTGACTTGGAATAGGACTCTGTCATAATTTCCTCATTTGTTCTGTAGGTCAAAAGTGCTACATGGAAATCCCCACAGTAGGAGTTTCAAGGCAAGGAAATTGCTTGGTGTTTGTATCTCTGAATCTGAGGTCCTTGTATGGGAGATTGGCAGATCATAGAGCTCTTAATGTGTCCCAAGAGCTGTACAGCACAGCCATAGAATGGTTCATACAGCTATAAGGAGTCTTTGGATTCAACTCAGAATAACCAGCTTACTCCTGAGTATGACTAGTAGCCCCAGTGGAACTTCATTTAACCATTGGCCTCCTTGCAGCTCTGAGCAATACCCTTTTGAAGGATGAGAGGGTTTTCACCATTGTCTTTTCCTGACCCTTCCCTCCCTATCCCCATTTTCCCTCCTTCCCTACCTCTAGGTAAACTTGGAGGCCAGGACTCCTTTGAGAGCATAGAGAGTTATGACAGCTGTGACCGCCTCACCCAGTCCTGGAGCAGTCAATCATCCTTCAACAGCCTCCAGCGTGTCCCCTCCTATGACAGCTTCGATTCAGAGGACTATCCTGCTGCCCTGCCCAACCACAAACCCAAGGGCACCTTCAAGGACTATGTGCGTGATCGTGCTGAGCTCAACAAGGATAAGCCCGTCATTCCTGCGGCTGCTCTGGCAGGCTACACAGGTAGGAGTCCCTCACCAACCACTCAAGAGGCAAGTGGTTATATGACTCCTGGTATGGGGCCGATGAAAAGTCTTGGAGTGGAGGATCTTGGCAGTGGGGGAGCCTGAGTAGATATCAAGCTTCTTCTTTGGTCCTATTCTCTGTTAGAGGAGTAGTCAATACTTTAGATGTCTTTGTTGAGTGTCATGGTCATAGCGGCTGCTGAAAGAAGTGAAAAGAAGCAGATTGTTCCAGATGGCATCTCCCAGTAGTGTGTGAGATATATTTGTACTTTTGGCTATCTTCTGTTTCAATGGTAAAGTAAATAGCATTGCCTAGGAGTCCCTCCACCAAAGTCAGCACCATCTGATGATATTAGCAATTTACCTTTTCTGATGCCTGCTGAATGCTCTTGACTATAGCCCATTATTTGTTGAGTAATCTATTCAAAGCTGGGCTAAAAAGTCTTTCATCCCTCAGCTTTTTTAATAGATCCCTCTTTGATGAATCTATAGGAATCACCAACTTCTACCTTGGTTTGTCAAAGAGGATACAAAGGACTGCTTTACTCACATGGCTTGTTTAATTTTTTAATTTAGCCTCTGATTTAGAGTTCAATATAGTACTGAACATGATAGTGATACAATGCAATGATCATAGGATCATAGAAAGAGAGCTTAAAAGGACCTTGAGATCATCTAATCCAACCTTATTTTTATTGATGAAGAGATTGGGACCCACAGAGGTTAAGGGATTTGCCTAATGTCACACAGGTAATAATATGCCAAAAACAGGAGAAAGCTAAGATATGGGTTGTGGACTCTGGTTCAGAGGCCAGAAACAAAGCTTTAAAAAGGCAATGTCTAAATGGTTGGCAGTTCAGAAGGTTCTCTGCCTTGAAGCATATGAAAAATACAACTAAATATGATCCACAGAGCAGTAAGGTTTTAATAATCAGATACTTTCTTGAAGGCTTTAAAAATTTCTGAAAGTGAAATCATTATGAATTCTAACTAATTTTAAACTTAAATAAAATTTTAAATATAAAATTTAATTAAATTTTAATTAAAAATTAAAATATTTAAATTTAAGCTCTAAATAAAACCTACCTTTTATTTATTTATTTATTTTTTACTCTAGACCTAACACGTTGATAAGCAGTGACTATTTATGTGGGTTAGTAATTCATTGGACTGGAAACAGTACAGGATGTAGACAGGACGAAGAAACACTTGCCTCCTGATGTAGCAAGAGCTCTGGTCTTGGAGCTAGAAGGTGGGGCCCCTGTTCTAACATTTACTAGCTCTGTGACCCTGGACAAGTCATTTAAAATGAGGATGATGCTAATTGCGGTAGAGATCTCCCAGGATTGTTGTGAGAAAAAAACACTTTATAAACCTTAAAGCCTAATACAAATGTGATACAATAGCATTTGATCCTTATGACAACCCTGTGTGTTGTATGCTACATGTTGGTGTTATCCTCATTTTATAGATCAGGAAACTGGGAATCAGAGATACAAAGTGACTTGTCTACCTATGATCCTATTGTTATTAAGTGTTGAAGGCAGGGTTCAAACTTTTCTCTCCCCTGATTACAAGTGCAGCATTCCCACCGTGCCTCTCCTGAGTTACACATTGTATCTCTCCAGCATGGTGGCTCTCCAGGTATATCATATGGAACCTTGCCATAGAAGTGTTGACAAATGCCTTGTGTTTGTCAAACTTTGATGATTGAATGAACAAAGGGATAAAGTATTCGAGAAGAGCTTATTTCGTGCAAAGCATGATGCAAATGGGAAAGTAAGAAAACTTCTGCTCTCAAGGAGTTCCCATTTTAATGATAGTAGAGGGAGACATGACATGGAAGGTTTCAGCTGCAAGTCAGATTGAAAGGTACCATGATCTTTAGGGTGCAGTAGCAAAGCAGATGCCAATGCCTCTTTAAGTATCATTTCCCACTAATGAAAATCAGATCACTTTCTGGTGTTGAACCATTTGACAGTGCCAAGGACTTTGGGGGCAAGAACTTTCCTTTCTGGGTCTTCTGCAAGAGCAGTTGCTAGGCTGCATCTTCATAGGGGTTGATGATGTTTGAATCCACTGAACCTGAAGCATCACTATTCCCAGGCTCTTGGGAACACAGCCAGGGCTGTCTTTATCAGGGCCCAAGGGGAGATAAAGGAACTAATTAGCTTATAGAAGCAACTTCTCAACTGACCTTCAAGGGAAGACTTCCTATTTATGTTTCCTTCTCTCTGGTTCAGTGAAAGAAGGTATATTTTATGGCCTTAAAAATGACATTGTGACTTTAAAGTTCGCCTAGCCCAATTTCCTTATTTTACAAGTGAAACCTCTTACCTTCTCTTTTCCTCTGCCTAATGGATACAGGGGGTGCTCAATAAATGGATTTTTTAAGCCAGTTGAGTAAAAATCTAAATAAAAATGGGGTCTCCATTTTTAAAATTAAAGCCACTTGGAATGAGGAAAGCTTGGGGGTGAGCCACACCCATGGTACAGAGTGTTAGCTGACTATTGGGAATGCCTTCCAGATGTTACAAGAACAAGGCACTGAAAGTAAGGGGAGGGGCTGCCTTATTAGGAAGGGGAAAGGAAAGATAGGGAGAACCATCAGTTGTATTGGTCTGACAGGGTCTCAGAACCATCCTAAAATGGCAGTGCCTTCTTCTGCTATTGGGGTGGCTGGAAAGATCTCACCCCTCTTTCACCCTCTCACTTTCAGTCCCAGATTCTTGGCTCTGTTGTTGAACTTGAAATATAACCCTTCCCCAACCCTGGCAACTAACTAGTCACTGGCGAAATAAAAATCATAGAGCATGACCTTAAAAAATGTCAATGTGATCTCACTACTGGAATCCTAGACCTTTGGAGCCAGAAGGAATGTTACAGGTCATTTAGGCTGACTCCACTTTACAGGTGAAGCCCCTCGCCTCTCTTTTTCTGTCTTGTTTGTGACCTCTGATGGGTGAGCAGTATCAAGGTGTTAGGTACTGAGAACACAGCTGGCTGTGAATACTGTTGAAGGCTTTGTGATGGTATAAAATTGTATTTCTAGTTCCAGGGCTTGAGAGGTATTCACAGGAAAAGCTTAAATGAATCTAGGTTGTTCCTTTTAGAGTTCCCTCACAGCTGAAGGGTTGGAGAGAGGATCAGGGAAACCCTATTTTGGCCAATTCTTTACCAGCCAGTAGCAGAGGTTTGTGGTCAGCCCTCTGGGGTGGGATTCTGGTAGAAATGGATAACTTCAGTGGCAAACATGGAGAAGTGGCTATATCCTCATTCCAAGCTGAAACAGGAACTCTTCTGATTTCGTTAAGCATGTTTGTTATTGGGTTTTCTGAATGGGAAATGCATTGAGGCCTACAGGCAGAGTGCAGAGAGATGACTTGTACCCTCTCAGTTCCCCAGGGTGGTTTATGGGAGATTTCAGGAGAATTAGTACAGCACCATTAACAATAATTTACTGAGACCTGAGTGATCTTTACCAGAACTACCTAACTTTGGTAGGAAGAGAAGATTGAGGTGAAGCCTCAGGGACTGAGGATATAACTCGAAAAACAAATGTGAAATTCAAGTTGAGGCAAGGACGAGGAAATGAGCCATCAGAAAGGATGCTTAATCCAAAGTGCCCTTTAAGAGTAACGAAAATTGGCTCCTCTGCCAATCAAATCTCAGAGCCTGAATGGCAAAATCAGAAACTGCTTAGCTCAAATACAAATAATGTTCTGGAGGTGTGAGCACTTCCTTAAGACTTTCCCCATTTTACTTGCTAATTATTTTATTTACAGAGGGTAGTATATAGGCAGTAGTTAGAGAGGGAAAAAAGGAAAGTTCCTGGAAGCATCCTTGAATATCATAGCCAGATAAGTAAAAAAATTTCTAGTAACCCACACTCACACTCCAAATGATTATACCAAATTTAAAAAATATATATATATTTCTTCTTTCAAAACAACGAATCCTGTGTGGGGCACATACTAGCTGGGTGACCTTTTGGCAATCACTTAACCTCTCTGGGCCTCAAGTTTCCTCATCTGCAAAATGAAGGGGATAGACTCCATGTCCTGCGACTCCTTCTAGCCTTGAATCTATGATCCCATGATCCTAAGCATATCGTGTGAGGTCTTGGGCTGATTGGTAATTGCTCTGCTCATCATTTTCTAAATGACAGCTCTGTAGGGATCTGATATGGTGATGAGGACATCAGCCCACAAAAGAGAAGTCTTTGGGATCCTCTTGTCTGTCATTAGCGCATTCTGTGACCTTGAGAAAATCTATTTCTGTCCTGATACCTCCTTTTCATTTCTGTAAAGGGGAAGGAGGAACCTTCTTATCTTGCTCACAGAAGGTCTCTTGGGATTTAATGTAAGCTCAAAATATTTTGAGATTGTTTGCTTAACACTGTTGCCTGTGTTTTAGTCTTTGACTCACCTTCCAGTGATTCTGGATCTGGTCCTTGGAGGGTTGTGAGTTGCTAGGTATGGGTGGGAGACTGGAATGTGACTGATTTCCTTGTACTCAAGGCCTAGTGGACCCTTCCTCACAGCTCTGTGACTCCTAATAACTTTCCCCACAATGCTTCTTACTCCCATGGCTCTGGTGCTGTTCAGCTGTTTCAGTCATGTCTGACTCTTCATGACCTCATGTGGGGTTTTCTTGGCAGAGATACTGGAGTCGTTTGTCATTTCCTTCCTTTGTCATTTTACAGAAGAGGAAACTGAGGTAAACAGGATTAAGCGACTTGCCCAGGGTCACACAGCTAGGAAGTGTCTGAGGCTGGATCTGAATCCATGAAGATGAATCTTCTGACTCCAGGCCCTGCACTCTATCACTGTGCCCCTTAATTATGCCTCTGGTGGCTTACTCCCCATTTATAACACAGAATTTCCAGTTTCCAGGGGCAGCCCCTTCTCTGCCTCCTCAGGAACAGGTAGTGAAGGCATGCTTGATGGAATGCCTCTGGATGAGTTTATGCTTTTTGTTGTAGCCCCTGCCTTCAGA